TCATTTGCATTCACAAATTCATCGGATAATGATGAACATTACGGATAACATGGACTGCTGAGTAAACTTTAAAAGACTTTCGCACGAAAATTAGAACAGAGAACTTGACAGCAAGATTTACTTATTCCATGTACTAAAATAATAATTGACACATTATCCCTCCATTAGAATTAGGCTTTCAAGTGAAAGTTTCAGAAATTATTGTCTATGCAACAATCACTTTTGGTGGAATCTCAGCCGAAATGTAAATTTTACGAATAATTTTTTGCTATATCTGTGATTATCCCTGACGTTATGTTCGTGGCGCCCACAACTTGACTCAGCGCTTGCGTACGTGCGCTGTAGCAGCGCCCGCTAAGTTTGCTGCATTTATCCGTATGGTAATGCTGCGCTGCTTTCGCTTATCTAATATTGCCCATCGGACAGTGGCGGAACGAGGGCCCCCTCCCCCTCGAGAATGGGTCGCGAAATTTTTGAAACTTACCTACATAGGCAAATGACTTGTTTATTTTTGTAAATAATTAAAATAATTTTTAAAAATTCAAATTAGCCTTATGAAAAAGTTTTTTTCGGGGCCCCCTTTTTCCAGATTTCAAGGGTTGGGGACCTGCAAAAATTTTTGGAAGCACCCCTAAAAATTTTCGAAGCGCGTACTAATGCCACGCACCTTCGTTTGAAAAAAATTCCCCCCCCCCCCTGGTCCGAAATTCTGGGACCGCCACTGCCATCGGATGATCACCAATTTTGAAAGTCCTTGCGAGCGCTACTGTCTGGTACTCGGGCTTCGCTTAGCACTCACTCACCTCCGAGGGTGAACCTCTGCTTTTATGTGAAGTTTGCAATCTTTCATAAAATTGTCTAAAGCTAATGTTCGACCTCGACTACTTCGAATAGCTTATAGTATTTATACAATACACGTTCTCGTTAAACTAGTATCAAAATTCCGCCTTGAACTCTGCAACAAATCACTTGATTGATGGCCGCAGATAGCCTGTCTTATCTGTAGTTTTGCAGTGTATGCGATGTTAAAACCTACTTTCAGAGACCCAATTCTTCACTCCTATTGTAAAAAGCAAAACCATACACGTATTCCAGCTATTCAAAAAGCTGCTCAAAATAACAGCTACTTTGAAGCACTCAATCTTTGATTGTAAAATGTTTTGAGGTGTCACAGTCATTATCAAAGTTATCTTCACCTATTACCATACATTGGCAGAAGATTGTTACAGTTCTTCTAACCTTGATATTTTTTCAGTTTTAAAGTTTTGTCTTACCTGGATGAGTGGCGGGAAAAATGCCGTGGTGCGCGGGTAAATGAAGCATGTAGGCGGGCTGAAAAACATGACTTGCAAAAAATCAAATTTGATCGCGCTTGAGAAAATTACAGAAGATGTTTTCTTTTACCTTTGTGCAATTCGTACTATTCGGTGCAGTAGGCAAGGACAGCCTAAAATAAAGACTAAGACAGTAAAGGTTAACAGGTAAAGAAGCACATCCTTTGACCCCCCCCCCCAGCCCCCAGAATGTTCTATATCATAGGCACTAGCATGTCATATGTTTCATTGCTGCCAGTAATTTGCGAAGAGTCTTCTGGATGGACTAACATGAAAAGCATGTTGGTCAAAGTGGCTTTTTTGAATGGGATTTACATCATATTGAAAGGCGTAAAACCCTGATTCCAAACCCGGCTTCCTTATTTGCTGAAGTTCATGCATAAGGAGCTATGAGCGCTTATTGGAGCAAAAGGTTGATTGTGCAAATAAGACAAAAATAACAATAAATAATAATAAAATAACAGAAATCAAATAAAATAACACTTTTTCTAGCTCTTCAGTGTAGCAGTAATAATTATCAGAGCACTTTATTCAATAAACACTCAAAGATAAAAATATATCATACTTGATTGTATAATTTGAGGACTAGTAAGATTAATGCATCTCCTTTTATCTTAATGCACGTTCAACTTTAGCTACAATAAACGCCCATAACTTCTCGTCCATAATCGCTCCGCAGATGAGAAGAAGCAAGTTGGAATAAGCCTTCAAGCTCTTTAACATGGTATACATAGGATTTGAAAAGGCCACTTCGACTAAACAAGCTTTTCTTATAAATCGCGCAACCTCAGTCGTGGCGCCATCTCAAAGTGCTCTGGTGTGTCTAAATCAAAATTAGCACTTCATGTTTCAAGGCATTTCACAGGTTGCAAAATATATACATGTTGTTATCGAAGTTTACTAGTGGTGCTGAATACATATGGCAAACAAGCAAACTGCTTCTTGGTCAATTTCGCCCTAATTATGTTCAAAGCATGAGGCTGTCAACGTCTGATAACATAAAGCTGCAAATTATTCATGAAGCGTATTTGTGTGGTATCCCGCTAACAAAAATCAACAAGCAAACAGTAAAAACAGTGAAAATTAAGGAGTCTACGTTTTTTATCTGCACAACTTTGCCATGCCCTTTTGGCAATTTCACTATGAAGTAATTTTTTGAAGGAGGCAAACAGACAGAGTCTGGCTAGAAAAATCGCGCGATGGTAAACATAATGTTTGAAGTTCTTCGGTCATAAGAATAATTCTCCCACCGAGGCATTGTTGGTGCAAGCTGGAACCAATAAGTTTTTGAAACCCATAAATTTTCTGAATTTTCGCGAAGTCTTCTTCGATAATTACTAGTTCTTCCTTGTCCTTCAGTTCACCAAACTTATCCCTCCACCCTCCACTTCGCCTCCCTTTCTCTCTACTGCCTCCACCTGAGGGAATTATAAAATGCGCCTGAGCACAAAAACCCAAAAAACGAAGAAAGGAGAGAGAAGTGAAGCATGCCATTGAACATATGCTAAGAATGAAACACTAGCGCATTGATTCGGGTAGCGCTTGGCATCGGAGCAGTTTGCGCCGCGAATGGAAATCTCCCATTTGTTGAAGAAAAAGCTTGAAGGAAGCGCTATTAACCTTTCTGTGTGGAAAACTTCAGAGTGAAGATACATGTTATGTCAGAAAAATGTCAATAACATGTAAGCAAAGAGTCGATCCTTGTCCAGCTAACATGGCTGGAAGGGTTCTGGCTAATTCGGAAAAAAGCTTTACACGGCTTTCGTTTATGTAAAGGTTTCTTCTTCATTAATTCATTTACCATGGGTTGAAGATTTTGACGATATTTCAAGCGAGCATCAAAGAAATTAAAACAAAAACATTACTGCTGGAAAAGGAAAAAATTCTGCTTGAACACTTTTAAGAGTGCTTATCTATCTTTATTTTGAATGATTTGAGGATAGGCCTAAAAACGGCACGAACTTTCGGACCCATCTAATAAATTATAGTATGTTAAAATGGGCATTTGGAAAGACATCAGATTGGTGCAATAGCTCTGTCGCACCATTTTTGAAAAATCGTAACTTCTTGTTCACTCGACGATCTGCACAAATTCACTCTACTTAAAAGGAAATCATAATTTGTGACAGCAGCTTTGCTGCTTTTCAATAAGGTGTGACTTTTGTAAATAGATGAAGGAAAATGAAACCACTTATCGTTAGTTTCTTTCATTTTGTATTAGGCTGCTAAAAATTTTGAATTGCGATAAGATTCGGAGCGAGCAGTAGAGTAACTTCTTTGATATACTCTTTTCAAATGCGCAGAGTTTTTGTTAAATGTGCACATCTGTGTACAATTACGACTTTGGTGAGCAATACAAAAGAGCGGCTTGAATCATATTTCTTTACAGAGACAGCTTGAATACAAATTCCTGTTGGACGTGTTAAAAGGGTGCTAAAATACCTACATGATGGCTTTTTCCAAATTTTGTCTCAAAATTCAGGTTTTTAGCAGCCTAATTTGAGATAACTGAGGTTGAAATAATTGTATTATTTCGCTTCCATCTAAACATCTCTTATTGGGAAGCAAAGGTAACATCGCAAAAATATGATTTACTCTGAGTATAATCAAGTTTGTGCAGATCCGGAGCGAGCAGGAAGTTATGCATTTCAAGAATGGTGCGATAGAATTTTGATAGCAGAGTAGCTCCTCAGAGCGACATTAACAAACATGCACTAATCTTGCACTAACCTATAGGCCGTATCAGCCAGCATCGGTCTCGCGCTAGGCCTTGCGAGGACGCACCGCCGCATGCGACGTGCTACGCGTAGCAGAGTCCGCAAGCGTCACATCGCACTGTCGCAAGTTGCCGCAGACGCGACGTCGCATGACCGATGCTGGTTGGTACAGCCTATAATATTATTGAACACCCATACCCAATGATTCTGTAATTCCAATCAATTTACAGAAATAAAACCATTAACCACTTTGGAATAGTAATGGATGTTCGACGTGTCGAATTTCAGTTGCTCATCAAAGCGTAACGCTAATCTTGCAAAAGTTGTGTTCAATCCACTACGGCAAGTGATTTCGCTGTAAACACTGTCACGACAATCTGTTCTCCATCTAACCGAGGTATCCATGTACCATAAAGCGCCGAATTCCTTTAGCATCATCTTAACTAGAACTTACAAGGGAATGGTCAGAAGTCGAAGTGGCCAATCCAAACAAGCTGCATACCATTCGATGCAACTTAAAAGGTTGATTTCAAGTCTGTCTTCCATATCTGCAGGGCGCCTTTGTAGGCGAAGTTATGAGCAGCTTTACTGCGAAAGAACTGTATGCAAAAATTGCGAAATCAGGCATATCTGCCCCTTCAGCTCACCTTTAGGTACGCGTCATATGAAGCGACCTAGCTGCATGTCTTGGTCTAGCACTGAGCCGGGAATGGCTTTGTACGGCCAAGTTTGCCCTTTACGCACACAATTTCTTAGCAAAATAATAACCTTTAACGGCTTATTCCATCTGCAAAAGTAGTCTGCAGATAAGGGAGACAGATCTGGAGTCAGCGTTTTATGCTGCATCTAATGGTATACAGCATGATTGAATTGGCCACTTCGATTTCTGATCATTCCTTTTTTAGTGAAGACTGAGGCTGAGCGTATGAGATAACGTCAAGAGCAATCTTTAAACCGTTGTAATGCTACCCACTGCTATGAGAAGAGGTTTCCATCTGTACTGCTTCAATTGGCGTACGTAATGCGGATATGATTCAAATGGAAAACGCCGCACTTCGCCCAAACACATCTCCTAAAATTCGAGACTTACATGTATTCGTCAAGAGCTCATCTTCAAAGTCTCACTTGTAATTTCATTTTTGTCTTCGGTTTGAGACCCAAATCGTAGATGATAATCCTCTGACGTGGCCAAAGACTACGGATGCTTGCGATCTGTAATAAAAGAATTTATGCAGACTTTATCACGAGCTTCCACTGTTATAATCAACATTCCACTTTGAGGCAACAGCTTGGTTATATGTAACTAGAAAGATTCTTCACATTATCAAGTATCTTTTTTCTCAGCTTATTTACGAAGAGCTACTTATAAAGTGTGGAACCCTTGGGGTCTATCAGTCGGAATATACGATCTATCTTTGAATACCAAATTATGCTCCTAAGAATTATTTCTGCCAACATACACTGCAAAAGATCAGCTAGGAGTTATCCCTGTTTGGTACTTAGTCGTTGCAAAAGTTCGGTCACTTTCTTTAAATGACCCGTAAATCCCGTAGAGTAAAGATAGGCAACATCTAGCTGTATCTGATATAGCATCTCTTCAACTATCCAGCTGATCTAAACCTCCGTGTGATTCCTTGAGAGAACGCTAAGGTATTCGCTAGATATTACGCCCCTTCGTTCTTACCATGTCCAATTTCCGCAGACTTTCAAAACTTCTATCAGAGACACTTGAGAGGGGAGGGCTTTCAAAACCAGCATAAGGGCAAACTTTTTTGCAAACTAAAGCGGCTCTTTGTGACTTTGTAGGTTGTCTTTCAGAATTTTCAAAATTCAATTTTCAAAGTAACCACGTTTTATATACGGCCTATTCTAAGCTTTTAGAACATGAAATGGTAAACACTCCAGGTACCCGTGTACTTTTTCCCCTTTTTTCAAAGCTTTTTCTTGGCAGGGCACGCGCAATTGCAAAAAAAGAGAAGTAATTTCAGTTTCATTGCGCAATGACGGACCTAAGTTTGAAAATCTTCATATTTCAAAGAGAAAATTGTCCATTTAGTTCATAAGGTTAGTGTTAAAAATCGAATGTTGAAGCCTCAGCATTCTGAAGATCATGCGTTTGGTGCAAACAAGTTGTGCGATTTTTTCAGAACATAATATTTTTAAAAGATTTTTTGACAAAATTCTAGAATAAAGCTGAGAAAAGAAAAACGCTTCCGTTGGCAAAATGCTCTATCTGCATAAAAGCTTCCCCGAAAGCCTCTAATAAGAATTTTGAAAAGTCGTTAAATTTGGACATAGTGAAAACGAAGGGTTGTATTCTCCAACAATTATCTCTGCACGTTTCAACCAACCGCATTTGGAATATGGTAGCTGGAAAGTTAAGGGAATTTTGCATCGACCGCAACTTTTGTTTTTCTATTTTCTTCCATCGTATATGCCAGTGGATTCAACCACAAAATTTGCACCGGCCTAATATGAGTAACACACTACCAGTCTAATTTTATAATTAATCGAAGCGAGTTGTCGTGATGATAGGGCTAACAGAATAACACTCACATCCAATGCAGGAGCTAACAAAAACATGCATCGTAAGCTGTCTGTTAGAAAGTGTTGAAAATAAAAACTGGAAGGATTTGTTAAGGCTAACATAAGCTGTTGCCTCTTTATTGTTCTGCCCATCAGTTTTTCCTACATGCATTGCAGAAATGTTAATTTAGAATTGTCTTCTAAGCATTCCGCATTCTGGGCAATCCGCGCAGCGTATACTCATACAGGGACTACTCGTTATATACAAAAAACAACGGAAAAAAGGCGCCTTTAAACGACACTCATAATGTCGCATTCAGTGTACTCTTCTCAAATATCAGCCGAATTGAACCAAAATGACGAAAAGACTGGCGAAACTTTTGCTAGTCTCAGAGTCTTAAATGTAGAGGAAAGCTGAGATGTATTTGTGCGTAGAAGCTACTATCTCTTTCTAGAACTGACGATTTCTCCAGCACAAGTATATGTTAAGCAACACTGTAATAGAGAAGAAGTTTAAGCTGCGATTGTGGCTTTACAGACACAGCATTCGCTAGTGTGCTCAGTAATGACTGGTAACCTAATCAACAGTGACCGCTATTTTGCATTTGTAAAACTGAAATGAAAAATTTTTTTAGCGAAACAATTCGAACGATTCGAGTTTCAGTCCGCTTCACTTCGCTGACTCCGAACACTCAAAATAAATGTATTTTCGGATACCAGTCAAAGGCAGTGTCTTGGCAAATCCTCGACTCAAACATACGCTAACCTGGATTTGCCCAATGAGCTGATTCCGAAAACCCGCCTCAGAGCGAGCAAAAATGGCGACAAAGTTCTTTAAGGCCATTCATTTCAGATTTGAACGAGTGGAAGCTCCAGCCAAGGTTGGAGATGCAGGGTCGTTACTGGACATTTATGGCAATAGCAATGCAGCATGCGATTTCAAACGTGGAAAGCAAAATCTTGATCTCTATCGAGCGCGCACAAACTGAAACAAATTTCCTTTGCCAGCAACGGCATGCTGTCCGACATGAATTGCGTCAAAATTCCAGAATGTTCATGCCGAGCCACTGCCTTACTTCCTAGGCAGCGAAGTCGTAGCAAATCAAGATGATTTAGAACCAGTGCTTGTAATCCATAGCAGTATATGATACTCGTAAGCGGTCCATATGGGAACAAGCAACAACCACTGCAATGATTTTTTTTTCAACAATGCTGACTTCGCTGCTATGACTTCTCACTATCCTACAGTATAAGTATAATATAAGAGCGTTTGCGAAATATGGCCTTGTTTTCGCGCTTATTCTCTTCAACTATTCTGTGCACTCAGTGAAAAGGGGCGGGGCTGGTGGAGTCTTGGAACAATTTTTCAGGACTTAGCGCATGAATTGGCTGATGGAGTTTGGACTACAGTGTATTTGAGGGGGGAGGATCTACTACTTAAATCCAACAAAATCCGAAAAGGGTCCATACTGCTAATCCACTGCCCTCAAAGGCAGTGCCCCATCAGGTTGGGGGTATCTGGCTCTCGTAGTAATGTAATAGTAGACCCCCTGCCTAAGCGATGATTGAAGTGCGGAGCGAAAAAGGGTTTACCAAGCCTGAAATTTGCTCCAAAAGTGGCCCGAATCTTACGGTAGGCTCGCACGAGTACGAGATGGATGCAAGGTGGAGTCGTTGCGGGACCCTGCGCTCATGAATGTGTGCGCTATACCACTCTGGCCTTGCAAACTGATATTGCTTGTGGGCGGCGTCCGGGCCTACCGTATGATCCGGGCAGGGCCCGGCGGGGGTGGCGCTTTCACAAGCTGGATATCGTTTTTGGCCCGAAAAAGCAAAGGGGAAGTCATCTTTTAGGGTCCGGGGCGGAGCCCCGGACCCCAAAATACGATTTCCCCTTTGTTTACCGATAAACAATGCACATATCATTCTTTATTTATCATTCCTTGTTGATGCTACTGTCCTATGAACTTAGATTCCAGCAATGTGAAGATTCTGTGCTCCGATCGCTAGCCTGCCCGCAGGCGGGAATTCAAATCGCAATTCTTGTAAGAGGAAAATAACAAAATAGCCTCGTTTTCAATGCACAAGTAACGATATGGCACGAAATTTGCTATGTAGTTGGAGGACCATGAGCACAAAAAAAAGTATGAAGAATTATGAGAAACTTATATGAATTTAGAAAATGGTAAGTGTTTTTCGAAATTGGGTGGCTCCTGCGCCACCTGGGAGCCACCTGGGGTGGCTCCCTGCTTCCCTTCGCATAATTTCCCGGATTTCTTTACATAAATGTGGACTAGGTCGAGAGTATTACTATATGTTCAAATTCGCTTCTAAAAACACCAAGGCACCGCTTCGATACAGCCCCAAATAGGGCTTACAGCGTTATGATCGGCCTCGGGAAGCGCGCTCCAATCGCAATCGGTTATTGTAAATTGTAGTATCTTAGATATATAAACGTCAAAGTTTGTGCAAATCTTGACCCTATGTTTTTTATAGATTCCTTTGCGGATGAACCCATTGAGCTGAAACCTTGATGACCCGGGCTGGACCAGGAAAGCCAGGTAGTACTACTATAATGAGCGCTGAGGCCGCCCATCTTATTATTTGTGTATATCTGTTTGTCGGGGACCGGGGGTCAAAAATAGGGTCAAAGGGGAAGTCGTAAGAAATTTTGGCTTTTAAAGGGGATATCGTTTTCAAAAATCTGAAATGCCACCCCCTGTCGGGCCCTGGATCCGGACCACTTTCGAAGCAAATTTCAGGTCTGGTAAACCCCCTTTTTCGCTCCGAACTTCAGTCATCGCTTAGGTAGGGGGTCTAATATTACATTATAATGAGACCCAGATACCCTCAGTCTGGTGGGAACTGCCTTTAAGGTCACGACGCAGGCGTGGAGGGGTTGGGGACGGATTTCCCAGCCGTGAATGAATCTTTTGCGCTGCCGCTTGGACAGTGCCTTGCTTAGGACCCTCTCAACAATTTCCACGCGAAATACGCATATGCCCAAATTTGCGTGGACACTGCCTTTAAGGAACGGATTTTTGCCAAGTCATCGCCTCGGTATTTTGTATTTTGTTTCCCACTCGTTTGGGAGAAGAGCACAGCAAGAAACAAAATAACACTTTTTTTGCAACAGGGTAATCCTAATATTCATCTATGCGGGAAAATCACAACTGATCCAATTGCGGGAAAATCACAACTGATCCAATTTCTCCAAAAGCTATTTGTGTTTTTGCTCTAATTTTCAATCCCTGGAGAACAAATTATTGAAGTCATATCTTCTTCAAGTAGCTATATCTATACCATGTTAAGCCCTTCCATAAAGTGGTTTTCGGACATAGCACTCACGAACATCGGCGTGGGCATCTTTTCTGTCATCAAATCAATGACTTTCGCTTTCGATAACAATCCTAAATTTATATCTGCATCTTCATAAAGGGGAATGAGAAGGTCCGCACACATACCAAGCTTTTCAAGATGTGAAGAGAAACTACAGTTGAAGCGTCTTCCCTTAATGGTCCAATTCTTGGGTAAATGGTAGCAGAAATCGTATGTGACGTTTTTGTGCGTGCAGGAGCAGCCATCATTCCCAAGAAAATAACTTGTTTGCGGCTGCTGCAACTCTAGTTGAATAGAAATTGTTTTAGCTTTTAGTCAACGTACGTCCACAACGACTGTTGCCGGCGAAGAGATAATCAGGATGTACATCAGAAAGAAGATTGCACAGGCTGTCAGTACTTGTAGTTTTCTGGAGAAAACCTGGAGAATCTATCAAAAATGTGTTAAGCAGCTGTGGAAAAAATTCGTACAAACCCATTCTTGTTCAATTATTTCGGTCTCAGGTGTAGCAACACGCATCGCCGTGTTGTTGTATAGATCTAGGAGCTATTCAATAACATAGTACGGTAGAAGCACAGGACATTGGTGAATAAAATAAATTTCCAAAACTATAGCAAATATCGCGAATAGTTTTCCTTTTTCGAAAAATCAGTATAAACTTGATATATACCAACCTATGCTTGACCACAAACATAAGTCATCATGCATCATGTATTGCTTAGTACAGATAAGTTAATATTGCTTTCTGCAATGAATTCGACGGTGTGAGCATTCCTAATGTGGAAATTGAACGTAGCAACATGCAGCGTAAACAATTCAGTCTTATCAGAATATAGCTTAGACTTTTATCGCATTTGATACTACTCTCTGATAAGGAGACGCACCTAGTATTTACATTCGGATGCATCAGCAACTGGAAGAGATTATTCGAGAAAAATGTAGAATGCGTGTTGACGATTTCTTCTATGAAGGAATACGAATGTCACGCAAAATACGAGACGCATTGTGAAATTTTCTCATGACCGTATAGACCAACCTGCACTTTTATGCAATATTCATTGAATTAAGAAAATACAAATATTTCTGCAAAGGCTTTCAGAAATGGCTTTCGTGAATGGACCATTCAATAAATTTCCGCCAGGAGTTTGCCAAGCTATTTTTCATGAAAATACTACCTTTATAAGGGGCTTGGGGATGCCCCCCCCTCCATTGATGTCCTCCCTATACGCAATTTTTGTGAAAAGACTCAATAGGGTTTTCGAGACACTTTCACGGGTTCTAGATCAACGCTCCAAGCCTAAAATCTTGAAAAAATAAAAAAGTAAAATTTTTAATGTAATAGTTGTGATACTCAACATGTAGCTTAAGAGCAGTGTTGAAGGACAACCGGCTTATGCTTGAACATTGTAAAAAATTCACCATACCCAAAAAAAAGCGTGGCATTAGTTCTGTTTTTTGTGAAAGACGCTTGCTTTTGCTTGCCTGATCTCGAGATTTCAGGCACAAAAGCTATATTTTTCTCAATATTTCGAAAGAAACAGAGGAAATTTCAAAGGAGCTCTCACTTTTCTAGGTTACACGGCTGCGAATGTCAGAAAAGAATAGATGTGCTATGTTAAGGCTCGATTATCGCTAAAAGAGCTTATGTTTAGAATGGTCAGAATGACGCATAAAGCACCGTTTCAGGCAAACAAACTTGGCCAAGCGGACCAATTTCATTGCTTGCAGCCAAATATAGCGTGCATGTTGAGAAACGTTGTTACTGAGGCAAACACAGCGTCTTGAATACGTGAAAGATTGGCCAAAATTCAATGCGAGAAAGAATTTAGTTCTTTATTCGTGTATTCACTTTCCCCTTCAATCCCGGTAATATTATGTAATCTTATGCCGGGCCAGTGAGGTCTGTGTGGAAATAATACTGATCTAGGGAAGATTTTTAATCATTAGAAAGCTAAGAACCAATTTTCTGGTAATTTTACCTAGTTTAAAAGAATTTTTGAAGAATTGGACTGAGCTGCTCGAGAAATAGATTTGAAATAAGCTCTATATCTCCTTGCGCACTATAAGACACACTAGATATAAAGTAAGAAATTTTCGACACTTTCGAGTACTTTCTCACAAATATCTTCATAAGCAGAGAAAATTGGACTGCCTAGCTTCGACTTTATATGATTCGATAATTCAGCTTGATTTTGGTTGCTCTGACGCAAATTTGCTAATGCCTGTCAGCTAACAGCCACTGGAGGAAGCTTTTCTGAAATACTTTTCTGAATAGCTCACTTGATACGCTCTTGCAAGTGAATAAATCAAATAAACAGTGAAAGAGTTAGTATTCAAAAATACAAAGAGCTCAAGCATTTCAGTTTGTATGTCGAGCTCTTCAGAAACCAGGGCTAGGCGCAGTTGCAACCGGCTCAAGCTGGATATCGTTCTTGAGCTGAAAAGCAAAATATAGTATTTGCTGTTTGTCAGCACACCCTGGCACGCCGACGCAGCCACATCACCTGATGCTGTCGCCATTCTAAGTATGTATAACGGCTTTTAGCTTGACAGTGACTGTTTTAACTCAGCTGGGGAATCCGAAATCCCTAAACAAGCAAAAGTCTAGTTCACAATCAAAACGCATTGATATGACACTAATTGCTAAGTAATGAAATGGCAATGCATCCCTCATTCTCGTCAATTATCATATTACCACATAGTCATCATAATCACCTGCTTTTTTCCCATTCTTTATTCTTTGATTATGCTTGTTTATATCTCCAAGTTTCTTTTTGAGCACCATGCCGATAGGAAGTTTGTTAAGATTTATTTTTCCAAACTGGAGCACTTTTGTGGGCATGTGGCCCGGACTGTGTGAGGTAAAGTAATTCAGTTTACTTACTCTAATTTATAGGGCACTCTAAAAATCGTGGCGATGGAGCAACCGCGCGCGACAAGTACCATACCCGGCAATCGCTATTCTTGGTTTTCATCTCTGCTCGAATAATTTTTCTGCTTGCATACGATAACATTCAGACACTGGAAGTGACTGAGCTGAGAGTTGAGGTGATGCGTTTTTGTATGAGTGTTTTCTGCTCCTGTGGGTGCAAAAGCCGCAGTCAAATCCGTGACCACGATTTTATAAATGACCTACACTTCGTTTTAGTACCAGTGCTGATGTTGTTATTGTTAGGATGAAATTTGATTATTCTTGTTAGTGTTATCTCTGGATACCAGTGGCGTACCAAGGGAGGGGGGTCGGGGAGCCCCCCCCCCCGTCGAGAACGGGCGGCGAAATTTTTGAAAGTTACTTATATAAGTCATAAAATTGTGCAAATGACATGTCTGCACTTGTAAACTATTGAAATAAGTTTTGAAATTTCAGAAAAATTATTTTAGCCTTACACAAAATTTTCTGAGCCCGCGAAAATGTCAGGGAGCATACCAAAAAAATTTTCTAAGTGCGGCTAACGCCACGCACCTTCATCGGAAAAAATTTTTTGTCGCTCCCCCCTTCTCGAGCCGAAATCCTGCGTACGCCACTGCTGGATACATTTGATACATTTGTTACTCCCAGTAGTATATGCTGCAATGTTTCATCAGTTACAGTCTTCGGCAAACCCATTCTAAAAAATTGATGGTCAAGACCATTGCAAGACGAAGCTCAAGCCTGCTTTGTTGAGCCAATAAGCAATTTTCGTTGAGATGGATGAGGTATTTCCACCAATCCGGACTTCAGAAGCGATCGGGTCGCTCTCTAAGGGCGGGCTTTCGCTTCCAAACAGCACTTTTCACGTCCAGAAAACGAGTGTTAGTATTCAGAGGCTGCAAAGCACAGTTTTGACTAAGATTATCCAGAAGAATCGAGAACGATGAATACTTTAAAATCTCATCTGCTGAGCTGTTGCCTTTAAGAGTGCTGTGGCTATGGTCTGCATTTTCTATGAGCACTGCTCGATTTTATTCATTGGTTATTCATTGAGTCGCATACAGTGCTGGCCATAAATTAAGCCACTCTAGAAATCGTCGTAATTTTCGTTCTTGTTGATGAACTGTCTGAAACTTTACTGCATCGTGCGCATGTCAAACTACCATGACCCCTCGAGACGGCTTCCACTCTTGTTGCGTTTGAACGGAGAAAAACGAAAAAATTTGAAAAAGCTCTGAATGAAAACTGGACAAAATTATAAAGCCACCTGGTTTTTCTAATCACTATCGCATTCGTTGACTCTCAAATTTTTTTGTACAATTACATCCTAAAATATGAACTTCCAAAAGCACCAAAAGTCAATCTGTTTCAACAAACAGCTGGCTTAAGAAGTTTTCAAGCTCTTGTTTATTTCAAATGGTAGTCATAAAATACTGATCCTTTTTGATAGATGAGGTGAAGAGCGCTCTCATAAACTCTGCGTAGTCGCTGATATTGACGGACAAACTCCAACCTCACCATAGGGTTGACGCAATTTTGCACCACAGAACTCGATTTTTAAGCAACAGAAAATACTGTAATGTAGCCATTACGACAACCATACAACAGTGAACTTGTGCGCATGGCTAGAAAAATTCGGTATTGAGCACTCTGGTTCAGCCGCAGTTGACATCCACTGAATGTTGAGTCGAGCACTGCACAATCGAAGCCAACTCAGATCACGAGATAAGACAGGAGACGCTTGAAACTTCAAAATCATAGCTAATCTCATCCATCGGGTAAAATATAACATGAACACAGAGGGAAATAAGGAGATCTGGGGTTATATCGAATTTTCTGATCGCGAGAATTCTTGTGAAAAGTTTTTCAGTTCTAATTCGCAACTGCATCACTAAGGAAAACCAGAAGTTATTGCAAAAGCTGCATCACCATGTATGCAATGTGATAAATCAAATCTAGCTTTATGAACATTGCAAACAGAGTTGTGTGGGGTAAAAGCGTGACAACCCTATGGTGAGATTGGAGTCGTCAATATCAGCGAACACGCAGAGTTTATGGAAGCGCTTCTCACCTTATCTATCGAAAACACTCAGTGTATTCCAGGGCTGTCATGTGAAGTCAACATTAACTTGGAAAACTCCTTAAACCAGCTATTTGCTGCAGCAGTTTGACTTTTGATGCGTTTAAAAACGAAAAATGCAATGATCATTTTTCTTTGAGTAGCATGACAGGTCGTAGGCGTTGCAAAAGTTTCATATTTTGGGATGTAACACTACAAAAAAAATTTGAGAGCCAAAGAATGCGATAATGATTGAAAAGGTCAGGTATCTTCATAATTTTGTCCAAATTTCAGAACGGGCTTTTTCGAATTTTGCCATTTTTCTCATTCGAAATCAACGGAATTCGAAGAAGTTTTGAGGAGTTATGGCAGGCTTACATTTGCACCACTCAGCAATGTTTCAAATGGGCTCATCATGAGGAACGTAAATTACAGTGATTTCTAGTGTGTCTTTTTATAATTATGTCCAGACTGTATTCCCGTTGCACATTACTGAATTAACACTTTGAAGAGAGCAATATGTAAGATACCCTGAATGGTCTCAGAAAA